GCTTACAAACAGGAATCTGGAATTCGAACCATGATCAGCAGATCCAGGCACAACAAAGCGACGTGACAGGACATTGCAGCAACACCAGGTGACAACACGATATAGCCAATTCTAAAACTTTATTCAAAAATATTTTACAAATGTTATAATAGAGAAGAACACAAAGAAAGCACAAATTTACACATCCAAATGTTTCACACCGCACTCAGCAATACTCAAACTATATGACAGCAGTCTGGAAATAATCAAGTATTGGCCAGACAGTCCATGAATTGATCCAAGAGCATCGATCTACGCAATTGGTAGAAGCACGTCAATGTATCCCAAGTCAGAGATCGTGACCACCCAATTCCGTTAGTCGTCTATTACAAGCATGGGTTGCTGAACATTTCAAAATGCAGAGACTCATGCAGAGACTCACGCAGAAACAACGAAGGTAACAGAATATATGCATAGAACATGTTCATCACAGGTTTGTGGATTTTGAAGTTTTCGGCAGTATTCAGGAAGATCAGAACAGCAGAAAACATTGTGAGCATGCGAGGGATCGAACCCAAGCCAGCAAACACCTTGAACGTGTTACCTGAGGTGACAGTCTAGCACAGTGGTTATTGTAATTAATAGCATTGGAATATTCAATGACCACGACAAATGGTGACCCAGACCTGTTGAACCTTCTGATTGAAACCGACACCTTGACTTGGGTTTGATATCCCTTGATGTACTGATCTTTGACCGATCCCTAGATATGTTTTAAAGGCTTCAAATGAATACATCCAGAGCAGCATGGCTCAGCCACATATGTATATATTCATTCTGGCAGGCCGAAAAAAAAAGATTTCGAAATTTATATGAAACAAGGGCGGAAATTTGCACCCCAACAGGTCTGAACACTGACCTTTGGTAGCTTTGAATTCTAATTCTTAGGCAAAATATGAAAGATTGTTTATTTAGAATGCTAGTCAAATGTATATATCCAGGGTAGCATGGCTCAACTACGCCTGTATATATCCATCCTCCTGAGGCCAAAATAAGTTGTAATACAATATACATTTAATACATTTTCCTTAGCAGAGTTGGTTACATGCTATGTAGTGATGGTGGTACGAAACCATAAGGTTGGTGTCGCTTTAAATCCACCCATGCACTGACGTTAGAAGTACTTGTACTTAAAAACCAGGTGACATTGAAGACAATATTAACTGATCAAGGCGAAGGAAGTTGAATTAATGAAAGACTTTGTTACCAAGGGTTCTGACAATATGATACAGTTACAACTACAGTGTGGTGAACATGATCATACTGATTGTCGTGTTGTCTTTTGTGTGACAATCACAGGAAGAAGCAGCATGGCTGTTGGGCCACTCCAGTCCTTGGGAGTTCATACAGCTGGGAGAGTCCAAACTAGTCCATCGTTATTCGGACGAAATGCCTGTTGGAGAAAGATCATCCATGTATATATTCATGTATATATTTATATCTGTATTATCCACACCGAAACATTAAACAGATCATTGCAGCAGGACCGACGGATTACCTGTCCTGAGTGAATTAATTTGTCCCGATCCTTGACATCGTTCAGTATTTTACATGGGACATATAAACCTGCCTTCTGTGAAGCGAGTAGGCTATTCTATTTATTAGGACAGTCATTACAGGAAAAAACGTGTTTCTTCATCACTATAGCCTGGAGGTGAATTTAAGGTACCGACGTTTACTACAATATCTGAAAAGCTATTGGACCTACTCCAATCAAAGTTGGTATGAGACTATTAAACAGTCGTACATAACTGGATATTACATTTAAAGACAATCGGTGCATGAATAAAAAATCTGTCTATTTAGCTATCACTATATTTCATCAACAACCAGACCTGTTCGTCACGGGTGGAACGAGCATTCATTGTAACAGCCATCTGCATAATGCTACCCCTGCGTCACAGGTCTTTATGACACAGTTGAACCAATCAACTCGAAAGGTTGCACGGGAATCACTCACGCACGAATACGGTGTTAGCGTTGGGCGTATCAAGCAGTTATTTAATAATATTTATCCAATTATTTTTGCATTCTTTTTCAGGTCAGTGTTATTGACTTCAATGTATCATTCCTTGCCACATTATTATATTTCATGCATCATGTTATTAGGTTTAATATATCATACGTAATTATTCATTTAGACAAATCATTGGTTTATGGTTTCGAAGAAAATATTTTAATATTTTCGTAGATGATTCGAGACTTTCGGGGCTGTTTCGGGTGAAAGAGAATCAAATTCTGAGCCAAGAATTGCACAAAGTGGACAAGATCCGATTACGACATGTACTACAAAGCACAAACCTGAAATTCGTAGACGATTCCTAGAAATTCTTTGATAAGCAAATTTTTTCTCAGGAATCCCACGAACTACAAGAATGTTTTGGAATAAAATAAGATATATTTAAGATTCTTAAGAAATGATTAAGAATATGTACGCATATGTAAGAATTCATATCCGTAGTAATTCGGGCTATTACATGTCGTAGTGAAACAGGGGTATATGTATTGCACTATTCTTGGTTCCACGAAATGCCCTCGTCAGATTCGGAGTCTGTGCTGTCACCTAAATGAACAACAACAGGCTGGACAGTATCTGGTCGGATACAGTCTTGTTTCCAATACTCTTCCTCAACTTTGATAACATGTTGGACACAGTTTGCCCAACATCTGTACATCGTAATTTCTCCCATCCCTTTCAAGACAATCTGCTTGACGTCGGCAAGCTTGAAGGTCTTATTTTGCCGTGCGACCATATTTTTCAAATCACCCCAGATTAGTTCGATGGGATTCAAGTCACAATGGTAAGGAGGAAGTCTAAGCACTTCGTGACCGTGTTCTCTCAACATGTTGTCAATCAAATAAGAGGGCGGGGGTTTGTTCTGAAGAACCAGTTGGTAGTAGTCAGTTCTTTTGGCTTTCGTGGGCCGAGCAATGAGTGCTAAGAGGAGCTGCTCCTCAACATACGCAGTGAAAACCTGACTATTCATCTCGGTATGGCAGTCTCAGCCATCTGTTGATCTGGATCTGAACACTAGATCACACCCAGGGAGGAAACCTCTGTGGGAGCCTGCATGGAGGACAATCAGGCGCTCCCCTTTACCAGGGGGGATCTTGCGCTATGGCTCTCTGGTATCTGGGTGAGACCACTGGTAAGCCGCTGTGTGGCAGGCGTTAACCCAGGTTTCGTCCAAATAGACAGGCTCATAGCCTTCTCGTTTCTTTTTAATAGTGCGCAAATAATTGATACGCAAAAGAATGATATCTGGTTGTTCACACATTGCTAGTTTCGACCCTTTCGTCTTTTTGGTCCATTTGGAAATATCTAAGTCATGCTCTGTAATGAGAATTTGTTTTAGTTTTCGTATTTTCCGAATCACGTCCCTGACAACTTTCTTATCAAAGAAATCTAACTTTTATTTCCTATTCTGTTTTGAGATGCCCCTAAGGGATGTGCAGGGGAGCATGTGTTTTTATGAGAGTTCAATGAGTTGATTGGAGTAGGTCCAATATTTTTTCAGATATTGTAGTAAACGTCGGTACCTTAAATTAACTTCCAGACTATAGTGGAGACATCAACTCAGTTGATCCATTTTTGAAACTACGTCACATAAAATTAAACAGACTGACGTCTTAAAAAATGATCACGTCATCAGTAAGTATATACACACAATGTGTTGATGTGGACGTGACGTTGCTGTTGTACCCTTTGAAAACAATGGAATAATGGGATGACACAGGGAATAAGAAATGTCATGTTCAGTGAAAATTAATGAAGATATTTGCAACAATGTCCTTGCCCTTATGGATGATATTCTATATTACTATCTTGATATTACTCGCCTACGGATATATGACAGGGTTGTAGTGTACGATAGAGATGTGTCTAGATGTCTATTGTCTTCATTGCGTATTCAGTTAAACCCAGTGACCAGATACTCACCCAGACAAGAGCTGAGACAGGCGTGGTAGACGGGTGTAGTGGGCAGATGTGCCAGGGGTACCTGAATATGTACAGACTGATCAGATGTCATGTCATAAACACATGAATAATTATTTAGAATTGAGGTGTGTTCTGTAAAGGAAAAGACTCTTACTTCTAAAGAACGTTGTTTGAAACAGCCTGTCTGTAAGCTAGTCTCATACTTGTAGCCATCGAATAGGTTCAGTTTGAAACTCACCTTGGCATTGTTTTCCGTCCAGCAGACATCAATCTTTCTGGTAGACAGATGTGTTTACATCCCCTTGACAGACAGCTCCCCAGGCCAACCTCACAGTTGAGCAAAACGGTAGCCCTCAATGCCATTATCATATAGCACCGCACATGATTAGGAATATCCGTCTTTAACTCATAGTATGAAGAATTATATCTGAAATACTTTGTTGAGTTGAGTCAATTTGATATTTCTACTGACATAGCAGCGATATCTGACACGTTCATTTCGATGAGTAAGAACTTCCTGTTTCAAAATCATTCAAACAATTTCCTGACTAAATACGTTCACCAAATACAAGTACAGAGAAGATGCTTGTGAATACAACAGAGTGATCGTTCAACTAGAAGATGTTAGCGGATGTTCCAGGTAGGAATATGAGCCATGAAACATGAAACAACCCTCAACACCTCAAAGCTGACGAGTCATCTGGAGGTACACATGGACACCATCACGGACTTGTTGGTGGACGATCGTGCCAGAATTACACACAACAGGTGCTGATAAGACCAACATGTTCAGTTGTAACCTTTGGATCATGATCATGTTCAGATTCAGATTTCCGAACTACTTTGTGTACTTTCACGACTCATTATCTGGTCGTCCAAGTTAACAAGACAACATAAAAGTGTTGATATCTACACTTATACGGATCAATTTATCACGGACTTGGCGAGTATATCAGAGGGTATGAATTCCTGCACATTAAGTGGTGTGATTGGCAGAGGTTTTGGAGAAGGTAGCTTGTCATCAAACCTGAAGAAGAAACATAATTCAGTTTATTTCAGAATTATTCAGTGACCTTTATAAACAAACATCACGATCAATTTACATGAGTGTGGACCTTATTAATGTTTTGTATGATAGTGGATGGGAGTATATCGGGGATGCAGGCTCTAACATGCCAGCTGCCCAAGTGAGATATAGAGCAGAAATTTCTATTCATAAAGAATTAATTCCTTTGGTATACATGATTTGTTACATGAACTTCAGTCTTACTTACAGCGTCTGGAGAGGCAAGACCAGGTTCATGTGGTTGATGTGGTCGCTGACGGTAAAGGTGCAACTGAGGCTGATGGCAACTGAGACAGGATGGCAACTGAGACAGGATGGCAACTGAGACAAAATGGCAGTAGAGGATAGCCCTGAGGCAGGTGATCTTTCCGCGCTGCTTGTTTCGAATAAATTCGTCCTGGTACTTGGTGATGACACCTGAAGTGGAAATGATTTGTGTTAACACAAACGCCATATGTTACGAATACGAACATATGTTACTTGTCGAACGTCTTAGTTTCTCCTTTTGTAACACACACATATATATTTCTGCAAGTATCTTTGGAAATTGTATTCTTAATTGAACGTTTTATATCTAGAACGACTGATTGACTACTGACTTATTTCAACACATAAAATAAACGTCATCGTACTCGACATATATTGAGTCTTCGATTTGATACGCGTTTATACTCTGCATAAGTTCACTGAATGACAGTCCTTCGTTGCACATGTCGTCAATTTATGTTATTGTGATTGCATAATTTCTGAATCGAAAAAATATATACTCAAGCTCATAATTATAGTCACCCCTTCACCAAAATATATCGAGGGGTGACAATAGCATGTGTATGTATCAGAACAGTTCCTCTTGGACGAGAGGTCATGCGCCTGCTTCACATACAATTAACAAACTTTAATCCATTTACAAATTGTTCGAATGTTACTAGTGAGCAGAGAACAGAAGGTGTGTTATGTAAATGAAAAGACAGATAGGCGGACTTCTACTCCTTAAGAAAGGAAGGCTGTAGGTCCCGAATGTCTTGAGGAAGTAGTTTGGAATAGTGTCTATAATCGAGTCCTGTATTGTAACTATCAAAATGGGTGCAGTTTGAAACTCACCTTGTCACTTTCTCCCTTTCAAAATCCATCTTACTGGTAGACTGATACTGCCAACATCCTACTACAACACCGCACATGTCAAGGAAGAGACCTCTTCAACTCATAGTATCAAGGATATAATATATATTATCTGGGAGATGATTTAACCAAAAGGTATTTTGAGAGAGAGAAATTTGACACGCCCATTTCAACGTGAGTACAAACATATCCAAATACAAGTTCCAGACAAGATGCTTGTGAATACAACCGAGTCATCGTTCAACTGGAAGGTGTTAGCGGGTGTTTCAGGTAGGAATATGAGCCATGAAACATGAAACAACCCTCAACACCTAAGAGCTGCCGAGTCATCTGGGAGGTACACATGAACATCAAGGAGTTGTAAGTGGACGATCGTGACAAAAGCAGGACGCTGTACCAATGTCCATAAACAAATACAGTTCCTGATAACTCCAACATGCTAAGTTGTCATCTTTGGATTATGCTTGGTATGTGTAGGTTTCTGAAATACTTTATATCCATGTATCTTATCGTTGAAGTATTCAGAGTATATGAGAGGGTGTCAATTCCTGCACATGAAGCGGTGTTATTAGCTGAGGGTGTTGAAGCTAGCCGTGACCACCACCTGGAAAAGAAACAGTGTTTTTGTTAATTTCAGAATTATTTAGTAACGTTTATAAAACATATATGACGATCTATTCGCGTGTGCATGGTCCTTATCGAAGTTGTTGATAGTGGAAGGTCGAGTATGGGGAATGCATATACTGACAAAGCTGTTACAGTGGGATATGAAGTAGAAGTTAAAACTTGATTCCATATGATGGTAACAATGTTTGCCGGAAAGCATTAATTTCTATGACATAAATTATTGGTCTATGGCTTCTGTTTACGTACTGCATCTGGAGCGGTAACACCAGGTTGACGTGGTCGCTTTCGTTGAAGGAGGAACTGATTGCTGTATGGTTGATGGAGAGACCAGTGGCTGCTGGATGGTGATGCTGAGGCTTGTGCAACTGCACATGGATGGCATCTAGTGACAGCGTCTATCGTCGCCTTTTTCTTATAAACATTTGCTGTTCCCTTGTAACCACGCCTGAAGCGGTAAGGAGAAAGTTCAGTGACATGTGTAGAAACAACCAATTAAAGCACTAGCGTGGAAACACCCGTTACTTGTTCAATGTAAAGACTTATCTACATCTTCAAGAATCTACCAACACCGCCTTTAGAAACAATAACTTTGCAAATCAAAATGTCAATTTAAAGACATATTTGAAACGACTGCTTGACAAATGTGAATATATTTCAGCACATATCAAACAAGCTAATAAACGTTTCACCGTATTATATTCAGCATGCATTCAGAGTTTACTATTTGATTCGCTTTTTTTAATCCTGCATAAATCCACACTTTTACTGATTTCAGTTGATGTCAACAGTGTATTGTTTGACACACCAATTCCATATAAAATCAAATTCATGTTAACACATGGTGCGGTATTTTTCTCAGTGAACAAACCAGTTTCATCTTCGAGGAAAGCGAGCAGTAATGCAGGTTTTAAACTTTACTACTTTGGTGTGATGCCGATAAACCTAGAAAGATGATCAGGGCATATCAGGAATCTAACACACGATTATAGGCATCTGAGATGTGTAAGTGAGGCAGAATTACCATTGCATGTAGACTGGCGTTCTGCATCAGTCACTCCCTCATATTTCAGCAATATGTCAGCAAATATTTGACTGCCATTGAAACAGGGGTCGGTGGGATGGTAGAATGATCAACGCGGGCACAATCACACTTTGTAACTGGCCCTGAATGTATTCGACAGCAAGTATAATTTAGGTACTGGGTTACCTCGTCTGCCCTGGGACAGTCACCCCGAGAGAATGTAGAAGAAGCAGTAGTTGTAGCAGTATTAGTAATATAGGGTGAACTCCGTGAAATGTTTGTTTGTCTGTTTATCGCCACACTCAGCAATGTTCCAGCTATGGCGGCGGTCTGTAAATAATTGGGTCTGGACCAGATAATCCAGTGACTCTTCATGCTCATCGATCTCTACAATTGGAATACGATGACATTCATCAACCAAGTTAACGATCCTCACCACTTGATCATGTTAGTCGCCTCTTCACTGGGGGAAGTGTGGGTGAGTGAGTTGGGCATTGTGCTTGTATAGCATTATTCGACTGATATCAGGGCGGAGGACGAGAATGGGCTTAACACATGGAATAACATAACACGTTCTGTGTGACAACCCATCTGTAGCCAACTTAATTTTTGCTGTCTGCTGTATAGGCATGTAACCTCCACCTAACAAATATACGACATGACGTGCTACTGAATGTACTACTCTGTAATATCATATTTTGAATTGAATTAAAATAAAACAAAACAAACAAACATACTAGTCATTCCTCCTCCTAGCGTCATTTGCACCATTCCTGCCGGCTTACGCACACGGCCTCTTCTCTGCAATGAAAGAAAACAATACTTACACCTTTACTCTAGGCAAGGGTTCAACAGTCCCACTTACCAGGAATAATACGATGAGGAAAGCTCAGTGATAGACGATGCACGCTTACCACTTTGGTGAAACCCTCGAGCACATGGTATGGTGCTGACAATCCTAGTTTCTGGCGTGTCTAAGGAATATTGCAAGTCGGTACTTTACAAACCAGTGGTTCTACAATGCTTGATTACGGAAGTCAGTATTATTGTGAAATTCAAATTTATAATAGATGAAATAAAATCTTACCGAAGTCCTCTGTGCCTCCACCAAAACGCGCAACAGGTCCTGGTAGGGCTGCTGTTGTTGCTGCTGCTGTTGCTGCTGTTGCTGCTGTTGTCTTTCCCTCGCAAGTCGCTGCTGTCTCTCTCTTTGTTCCTGTTGTCTCTGCTGGTGCTGTTGCTGCTGTCTTTGCCGCTGCTGGTTGAGTGTTCTGTCTGAGCCGTTGGTCTCGGATATTATTTTGTGCCTGCGTCTGGGAGAAAAAAAAATACCCATTGAGAAACACGTATATCATTATAAGATACCTTTAAACTTTTTTTTACTTGGAGGAGTGGGTTGGCTTTTGTGGAAGTGTACGTGTTTCACAGACAATGATTTCTAAACGAATATTTGAGTCTTAGTTACATTTTCTGGTGTAGTGACTATCCTGACATTTCAAAAAGAATTAGTTTACTTTATTAAGGCAAACCGCAATTTCAAGGAAAACATCTTTAGATTCAAATTCATTTATTTACTCAAAACCACACTCGGTAGTACAAGATTACAGATAAAATTAACATTAGTTGATATTCATAGAACAATTTATGAAATTGTATACATACTTTGAATGTTATGTAACACTGCATCCAACAATACTCATACTGGGAATATGTGATTACAACTTCTAAATTTTGATAGAGGGAAAGATGAGTTTTGGTTTAGTAAGTGGTATTTCTCAAAGGAGGGCTCAGGTTTGATTATTCATATAGAACCAGATGTGATATTGCATCGCTATTCTTGAAGGAACTTATCCTTTAAAGAGTCTTCGACACGGTTTGTGAGCCACTTAGTCGTAACTAAATAAGGATTATCAATCACGTTACATAAACCACAGCACTTTAGTATATAAGTCATGCATTCTAACCACTTATAATGTTTTAATTTAGGACGAGAGGTCGGTCACATGACCTAGAAATTGACATTCATAAGTGTATGAACTACACAATTTGACGTTCATACGTTTTGTAACGATACTGTGTTCTTGACTGAAATAACAAAAAACTGACGGACTACTTCCACATTCCTTGGGGAACCCCTGCGAATAAATACAGAAGTGTTGTTTCTTGTCATTTAGACCATTTAATCTTGAAGTTAGCGTTTTAGCATACATTGGGACAGGTCAGAGAGTTTAATGGCATGTCCGTTCAAAGATATCCTCGCTACAACCCATCTTAAAGAACATGATATCAACATGATCCGTCTCAAGACTACAGTAACAGTCTACAGCAATATACGAATGTACCTTAGTATCTATTCGACACATCTTTACAATCACCTTTCAGTGATCGGCCAATTGATCAGTAATGACGAACACTTGTAATAGTCACCAGTTCATTAAAAACTTTGGATATCTCTGCAGTCACGTTTATCGTGTCGGGCATTGTGACGTCTCGTACTTGATGTAAGTGTATAACGACGCGCGGTCATTGTGACTGAGTTTGTTGTTAACAGACCTTTCTCGTCTACTGAGGATATTATTTGAAACTACTGACAAAAGTATACTACAAAGGTTGTTCCTGTTAAGCATACATAAGCTCATGTCACCTCTCGTTTTGTTGAACTATTTTATTCCGTGGTAAATCTGGTTGTTGTATGTCTGTCCGTATTAACATAAAGTCACACGTACTAAGTATGATTGTGTATAGATGAAAGTCTACGTCCTCTTAGGTCAAAAAAGTGTCATAAAAATTATAAGAATTGACTACAATTGTGTGAGTTCATTGGAGAAAGAACCTAAATATATAGAGAGGGCCAAACTGTATGAACGTTGGAGCTTGCGACTGACTATGAAGGTTCTATGAAATCTGGCTTTGCGTTTCATTTTTTAAAGAGTATATTTTACAGTACAATATTAGAAAAGGCCATACATCGCCAACAACTGAAGGAAGATCACCATGCTTGGACCACGTGTGGCTGGAATATTGCTGAGTGAGAAGTTAAACAACGAAAAAATAAATATCGAATATAATCACCATGTGATCGATATTGTGAGCAACGGTCCACGGCGTCGAGATGCGATGCAGGAAATCAATTAATACCTGTTCACATGCGCCTCTATACATATGTGTGTAGAAAAACCTACGTGAGTATACTTGTCATGTGAACGCGTTTACTGTGTATATTTACACCAGGAGCAAATTTGCATTTCTGGAGCAGGTGCAAATGTAAATTTGCACTGTGTGTATATGTTGCAATATGAACGTTTATGTTAACGTAAGAGGATAATCTAATTAATATCTGTCCTTTGCCAACAGCAAACAAATTGTCAACAGTTGCCAACTTTTATATCGTATATACAGAGTTGAGCGGACAGTGTTTTCTTTTGGTTTCAAGGAGTCAAAACTTTGTGTACAATTTAAATCAAACACATGCTGCTTTACGCGAAGATTTTCGGTGAAGTAACTTCTCATTCAACTTTGATTGGAAAACAACCTGTTTCGTGTTGAAAGTCGTATACAGACTGACGAATATGTGTGCCTTACACAATTTACATACTTTGTTTAAACACCTTAGTTGATTTTCATGTGAACTCATAGTTAATTTACATATACACACGTATGTATAGTTACACATGTGGAAAATGACTTACATTAGTAAATGTTGTGCATGTGAACGGGGTATTAGTCACCTAGCCTGATCACCCGATCCACTGAGTCACCTCTAACGACCAGCATGAGTTGCTGTGGGCCATTCTATCCCGGTATCCCAAAGATATGTTTTTGTGGAACACTGTTATGCACAGGAATGTTGAATATGAGGTATAACTGAAATGCTTAGGGAAGGAAGAAAAAGCGATGGTGGGGCTGAACCCTACAATATCAAGGACGATTAATTCAGGCATCTGTGGCTACATGGCAAGAGAGTTATTCAAAATAGATGAATCTTACACTGTCAATGAGAATTAACTTCATAATATACTCACAGTTGGACCCCTCTGTGAAGCCAAAGTGCCTAAAGTCACTGTCGCCGACGTGGAGCGTGTCGCCGACGTGGAGGGTGCCGCCGACGCTGTCAACGGGAAACCCTAAAAAGGAATGTAAGAGTTGATATTATCTTCATGTGAACACAGACAGTTTACGTGTTCGTTATGCATATTGTACAGCGTGCGTGGACACTCCAGGTGGCCCAAACAAATGTTTTCCAGTAAGCATGCCTGTTACCGACCCTAAAACATACCTTGTTTCTTCAGGAAGATTTATATTCAAGAATATATAACTACTAACTTTATGACGGGGGTCTGTAAACAATCGAGTCTGGGCGAGACAATCCAGTGATTGACATCATGATCATCGATCTAAAGCAATTGGGATACAATGACATGCATCAACCAAGTCAGCGAGCTTGACTACCCGATATCTTTAGTCGCCTCTCACGACAAGCATGGGTTCCTGAAGACCTATTCCACCCCGGATCTTCACGGGTCTAACAAAGTATAACCCTGACAATAAAACAACGCTTAGTAATCAATGTGAATTATGAACTGAATGTCAAAACCTTCATTTTGCCTTAGCTTATTTCCTAAGTACATGTACGCTGGAATACGAATTCATGTGCACATCTCTCGTTTTCATAAATATGAAGTTCCGAGAACTGATTACAATACATCTAGTAGTTCTATTAATAGTCGAAGAGAATATCTTGCGGTTCAGAGACTCGATTACGTCATTGTGCAGACAGAAGACGTATGACCAACACTGTATTTACGGCCTGTGTCAACATCAAGGTGTCACGCCACCACAAGACTATTATGCTGTTCACATTTGTGTTAAACCTGAATTCATTCTTGTTTCTGACTTAATTTACCTTCAGTATTCTGTTTTCCTCCTTAATCTTGCGATTCTCCTCCTTAACCTCGCGGTTCTCCTCCCGGAGTCGCCGGTTCTCTTCCCTCAACCGGAGCAGCTCGGCCTCGACAAGCTGCCACAATAAATTAGGATGTCAGCCAATTGTAAATATAAATATTTCACTTATATATTCAAATTGTAAGTACATATACGATATAACTGAATCACAACATATAATAGGCGGTAGGGTAGCCTGGTTGTTAAAGTGTACGCATAAATATGCTGATCGATGTTCGATTCCTCACGTTGATTTATTTTGGAGAACGAAACACAATCATTATATACATATTACACACACGAGTAGAACGGGTTGTATGGGTTGAATCAGAAAATATATACAAAAAACAACTGTTTGCTCACATTCATTGGGGCCGGCGCCGGCCCTCGTTGACGTGTTGCCACTGTGACTGCGGGTGTAGATGACATCGGGGTGGCAAAAGGGGTCGACGACGAGGGCGTCTGGTTAGCAACAGTCGCCTGTGGTGCCTGCGTCGGCTGCACAAGCTGGGGTCCCTGCGGTGGTTGCATAGCCGGGGGTCCCTGGGGTGGTTGCAAAGCCGGGGGTCCCTGGGATGGCTGCTGCATCAACCCGAGCGATCTAAAGAAAGACGACATACCTGGTAGTAAATAATGACAATGATACAAATTTGCGAAAAGCGTAAGAACGAAGCGATAAACGACAATCGTGACAGTCCTGGGGAAGTATCTGTGTTTTAAAGTGAGCTATTAGGGGGCAGCCATTTGATTTTCAAAGGGGTGTGGGGGTGGATTTTGATTTTTGAGACCCTCATATTATTTAATGTTTAGAAACCCCAATAGTTGTTCCAAAACAAACCTCAACACAGACATCTTGATGCGTCAATACAAAAAAGGACACCTTATATATTTTCAGTAATATAGGGGCTTGATTATTATATGAAAACTCCCCACCCCCTACCTCCCTGAAAATTAAATGGCTGCTCCCTGAACCCCGGCCCGGCCAAAGAGCATGTGACCGGGGACTAGCAGCAGTAACTTCTCGTGAAGTTCAAGCATATAATCAAATCACGAGGACATTGAACAATGGGTCCTCAGTGAGATGTCGCCAAGCTCCCACCCTATCGGACAGAGTTATGCAACACCGTCCCCGCTGGACGTGCCGGACGTGCGGCACACGTGTAACAAGCCTTGGAAATCAACATGGTGTCTAAAACCATTGCACACACACTATGTTACCAATAATCGTATTTGCAGTTGATCATTCTTGAATCTTTTGTAGATGGTCCCATACTTCAACCTCCACAATTAATAAGGTGTTGCTGCAAAATTGAGTCAGTATTGTCCGACCAGCTATGCTTTTTAACTTTGTACCTGCCATGCTTGTCAACTTTAATGGAATGTGTTTCGGACGTCAAGAGATAAACCATTTCGGAAATAAACAACCCTCTACTTTAGATTGATATGAAACTTGTTAATTTGCTTTGAGTTATTTTGTGTTTAAGTAATTTTCAACGGGGTGCACAATTAAAACAATTGAAAATATCGTATTTTAATTATAAAGATTTAGTGACATATGTTAAGATACATATTTCATGAACAGTGACATAAACTGTTAAATATCAAGTGTAATAGACGCACAGTGTTTACATGTAGGTTTATCTTTTAATACTGCACAGAGAACAGCAACCAGAAACGTGGGTAAACGAATCGTTATTTAATTAAACGTGTCGAGCGGAATCCAACAGAAGGCGGTTGCTTCTTTTGTGAAGGCGTGCGTCCCGTGGACACACCAGAAACCTATCATTGTGGGTTCGAATCCCGGTTCGCATCGATCAGGTTTGTAGATTTGTCAACACTATACCATATGCTGGTGGGAGACACCAAAGTGGCAAACGTCTGAGACCTCTATCACTTCAAGATGTCCCCCAACACTGAGATGGCACGCCTTGATTTAACTGCAATACTGTTCAAAGCGGAGTTAAATTCAACTCACTGACTTACACTACAACAATATGAACACCTGCTTCAACTGCTGCTACTTCAACTGCTGCAACTACGAGTACTACTGCTTCTGTCACTACTACGACTACTTCTACTACTAATGCTACTACTACTACTACTACTACTACTACTACTACTACTACTACTACCTCCTGTGAAGATCCGGGGTAGAATAGGTCTTCAGCAACCCATGCTGGCCGTAAAAGGCGACTATGCTTGTCGTAAGAGGCGACTAACGGGATCGGGTGGTCAGGTTCGCTGACTCGGTTGATGTCGATCCCTATTGCGCGGATCGATGCTCATGTTGTCATCGACTGGATTGTCTGGTCCTGACTCGATCACTTATAGACCGCCGTCAGAGAGCTGGAATATTGCTGAGTGCGGCGTTCAACAACAAACAAAGAAACTACTACTACTACTACTACTACTACTACTACTACTACTACTACTAATGCTACGCATACTACTACTACTACTTACATGAGTTTGGTTTGAGAAGTCGTTTACCTCAATTTATATCACAATTTTTATAGGACAGGCAATTTCGTGTCCGAGTTGGTCCCACCCTGTCTGTCTATTATAATCAGGATCAGGGTGTCCCGCAAAACAGTATTTTGTCTGTCACGTTATTCAGTATAGAAATAGGTGTGGTGAGGTGAAATGAGGTTCAACGTCGCGTTCAAGATTATTGCACTTATATAGCGACATGCATGCACATGTGTTTTTGTGGCTGCTTGTACTAGTCCGGGCTGATGCCGATTTATTGTGCTAGCCCACTGAGATACCATGCCGAAGTTTAACATGAATACACGACACAGACACAGTATACTGACTCCGAGCCGACCAGTCCTTGTTTTAGCCCCTCAATGCCGAGCACCAGACAGGGCAACAACAAGTTCCATCCTTTAACGTCTTTTGGTATGACGCGGCCGGGAATCGATCCCCGAACCTTCCGCTCTCCAGGCGGACGCTCTACCACTAAGCCACGGAGGCGGTCTAGTTTAAAACTAAATAGTCTTTCAAAGGTTTTAACTGAATCAGTAGATGGATCGATTTTCGTGGATGATTTTAATTATAATGTTCTTGTGGAAAAATATGCATACAATAGAGAGGCAGTTACAAATCTGTCTCAATAAAATTCATAAATGGTCCCTTGAAAACGGGTTCACATTTTTCAAATAAAAAACTAACTGTTTTCATTTCTGCAGAAAATATAAGCCGCATAAGGACCCTGAAGGGATAACTATTTCAAAATTTCATTCTTAAAGGATCTTTTTAATCTAAGTTCTCATTTAATCATCGGTTTCTTAAAGGAAATTTGAGTTATTTAATAAATTGGAATTGATATGTTTGGTATATAATCAGGTTTTTGAATAAATTAAATAACTGAGATTGTTAATGGCGGTATCCTGAAAGGGAGTTGAGGTAGTGTAAAATTAATGTCCCCCTGAGAGGGTTTGTAAGATCACGTCCTTCAATGTATATATATTTCTACCATGTTTTTGAATCATCGCATATGTGTTGTTTTAATGTTTGTCTAGATTTGTCAGCTATCGCCAACAACTGAAGGGATGATGTAAATCCTGCTGAGGTCCATGCAGGTAGTAAAAGTCCCCATGGTCCCTTGTGTGGTGATCTACCTTTAGTTGTAAGCGATCTATTGCCCGTTTTGATATTGTGTTGTAGAATGTTAATTTATTTGTACATACTCTCTAACTAGTTTTACGTAAATCTGTTATTTACTAGTTATTATACTGTCCTTCGACGACAGAGATTTATATAGTTTAATCATATATTGTCAAATTTTGTCTCGTCACGATATGGCTGAAAAATTGTCGATGTGGCGTTAAACTTTAACTCACTCACCTAGTTTAATATCTAGTGTGGGCTTCTGGATTAGTTTACTTATAATGTAGATGGTGGTTTGATTAGTCCTTGTTTGGGTCATTGCTTCCTCTCTTGTTTAAACCCAAGCCTTGTTTTCATTGCCTTGTTCAAACTGTGCACTTTTCATCCATCTTTAGGATTCAGTCAACACCACCTGTTGTCCATGTTCAGTCTCAGTGCTTATAGTGTCATGTTGTGCTTTAGAAGTTTAATACGGTTAAAGTCCGGGGGAATTTGTCTGATACCCCATCGTTGATGTTTGTACAACTCATTGTCTTTACCAATCATTTTGTACATGCTGTAACTGTCAGTGGGGATAGGGATTATCATGATGATTCATAGACGGTAGTTAAAACATACCCATAAGGTTTTATGTTTTTCCTCAACCATTTTTTGTTTAAATGGCAGTTAAATATCCATAGGCCGTTAAATATCCATAATGTTTCTGGGATTATTTTCCCCCATCATTCATTGCTGTACATATTTATGTGTTAATGGTATGCTGCCAAATACTGTTTCTGATGCTCAGAAGCATAAGTCATATACACGAATGCATCCCATGCTGGATCAGTAATGACTGATGCTCAGTCAAGCACTCTATGCGGGTAGTTGCTCCCAATGCTTGGGCATGTAATTTGTGCTGGTTGAAGTTCAAGAAGGCAAGGCCGAAATATACTGAACAACAAAAGTTCCTGTGACATTGAAAAGATTTAATGCAAAGTTATTTTTTTTTTTATCAGATCTGAAACAATTTCGGTTTGCAACAGATAAAAGACTCCTGTAAGTGTTCAAATGGTGTAATTTGCCATACTGACTTCAGAATATGCGTGATTTCATAAAATACATGAACATGCCAAAATGTCAATTTACAAAATCAATAGCGTGTGTGTCCACATCTGGTTGCGATGCAAGCAACACATCTTCGTCTCATGGAATGGACCAGGCGTCGCACAAAGTCATGTGGGATATCTGCTGGAGCACGTTTCGAAGTTTCTGGAGTGTCTGTGGAACACTTGGTTGACGTCGAAGGCGCCGATCCATCTCATCCCACATGTGCTCGATTGGTGAGAGATCAGGGGAGCGAGCCGGCCAGGGGATGACATTCACGTTATTTTGTTGAAGAGAATCCTGAACAAAGTCGAGCAATATGAGGCGTACCGATATTCTTCCGTGACACAATGATTGACGTAACGTTCACCTCGACGTCGGTACACTCGAATCCGTCAATCGCTGTGGCTGAGGTGAAAACGAGACTCGTCAGTGAATAGAACTTGTCCCTATTTCATGGCCGTCCAGCGTAGACGCTGTCTGCACCACTGTAGACGTGCTTGACGGTGGTTTCCTGTCAAAATGGGACGTCTGGCGGGTTTCTGGCGACAATCCCTGCCGACAATCATCTGAGGCGACGACGTACGGTGTGTGAAGATATTCGTCGAAGGCCAGGGATGCTTTTTGCAGTCACTATTGCTGGCTGGAATCGATTTCGTAGGTGTGTTGTTCAAATCCAGTTGTCTTGTCAATGTTTGGTTACGCGTGGCCTGCCACTCCGAGGATGGTCTCTGACTGCATTCGTCTGTTGCCAACGTTGCCATTGACACCAAATGGTGTTTCTGTGGACGTTAAATTGTCTTGCAACATCACGTTGACTCGATCCTGCTTCAAGCAGACGCTCATTTTCGGACAGGCGTGGCATTTCGTAATGTTGAATAATTGCGAAATTTTGTTGTTTTTCTGAGTGGATGTTGTCAGCACGATGGTAAACAATGCATATGGAATCCCGTTAACGCACATGTTTTTATACCCATTCTTGGGTAGTGAAATGCATGGGGCTTGCATAAAAGTCGACTTTTGCATGGAATGCATGCTTTTCTGTAGCAGTTGCGTTTTTGTGGCTTGATTCCATACATGCACTACAATATTGAAAACCAAACTTTACTTGTTTGAAAATACACTAAAATATTGGTGGACCAGGAACTTTTGTTGTTGAGTATATTAAAACGAACATATTTCTTTAACGTTTTTCTTTACTTAGAAGCAGTAGAATATCCACACTTGTATACAGCATATATACATGCTTATCCTTTTTGTCATCACTGATTTTCAATGATCCAGTCATATAATTGTCACCACTATTTTGCCTTTTACGCACAATATAGTCCATTGGTTCGTCACTGGCGATGATAAATTCATAAATATGGAAAGGGTTTTGCAACAAACCTCAAATCCGCATCAGTCCTATTCGTTTAATCATGTGCCATCAGTGCCTCAGACAAGTTGCACGAAACAAGATGACAACCCTGATCTGTGATGTGGTTCAACATGAACCTGTACCTTTTCTAGGAATGAGCCTGATGGTACAACTTGATTGCCAATGGAACTGGAGCATGGCTGATCATCAATTTGTCAGGCTGCAGACAAGCCGACTATGTTGCGGGATATGATTTGACCTGTCAAATTTGAGATTTCACGGATTAGATGCCAGCGTGTGAAAGAACGTGACAGTTGTGGCCCCAAAACAGTGTTTCGTGTATGACTTGTGCGTGTTCTGAAATGAATTTCATCATGTTTGATTAGTTGTTTGGATCAAGTATATGTTCAGTGACTTCAGTGATGTCAGGACATTTTGTTCGTGGCCTTTTGAAGGGAGGAGTGTTTTCTCATGCACTTTCAAATCCCCTCCTGTCAAATACTTACGGTGGTATTGCCGTAGATGGCTTGTGAAGGTTTGTGAACCACAAATTGTCATGGAAGAAATTTTTCAAACTCGTTTTATAATGTTATATTTTACATTTATTGTCGGTTGTTTCAATGAAGAAATTACCTGTCCCAAACAGTTTCATAAACTTTATCGTCTTTTTTGGAAAATATATGCCTTCGTTAAGTCTTGTAATCTCATCGTCGAGGCGTTCAGGGTTACGACCTAGAACATCATATCGTGGCCAAATACATCCAATAACAAACTTCCGTATAAGCTCTATTAGACGCAAGTCCGTCTTGTATAAGAGACCCAGCGTGTAATAATGGCTATATCGATACGTTGCACAGTTTCTATGGGTAATCAATTGATATGTATGCTATCGAACTATTTATACGCTCGTATCTTGTGTGAAGAGGCTTAATATATTTAAAAGGTGTTTCCGTAGCAAAAAAAGCCTCTTTTCAACCAATCAGAATCAAGGATTCTTCAATGTCATGGCAGAATGAAAAAATAGAAATGTCCAAAAATAAGAGCATTTGCATTTAGATCTTTATATCGTCGGTTTTGCATCATAGCAGTATTCATTAGATACACATTAACAAAGTACGTACAGTGGATGTCTCATTCCATTGTTAAACCTGTTTAAACATATGGTCAGCAAGACCGTTTTTAAACAAACGTTCGCTGCATTAATACAATCAAATCAACCCTACTTAGGTTTCATATAAGTGTAGATGTCTACGACTGATAAAATTGTTAGTATACTTGTATAAAAAAACCTCCTCACTCACTCACTCTTGCATGCTTTACCATTTGTACCGAGTTGGTGTCCAGATCACACACATAATTGATTCATCGGAGTACGATAACTCGCAGTCATCTTAATCACAAAGACTGGCCACACAATTGCTACTGACAAGCACGAGGCACCCATGACCTCTTCAGAACTGTGATCCTTATGGACCAATGGAAGAAAAATAACATCAGTAGCTAAACTATCAGAAACCATGAGAAGAACCAATTACGTTTCAGTGAATGGGCGCCGACTCGTGGACACATATATCTAAATCGGTACCATATATTCATTTGATAGAAATAACATTGTATATGAGAGGAACAAAAGTCATATGTCATGCATATTCTTTATTATTGAAGGTATCCAACAATCAGTGCGACAGAGCTAACGTGTCCTCCATTCCCTCCCAAGGACATACCGATTGTATTGGAAGAGTGAACTCTGTTTGCAGGCACCGAGAACTCCCACAATTCCCACTTGGTTGGAGCGTTGTACTTGTCTGAATCGTACAGGTTGTAGGATGATGACAGTGTATAGCCATTAAATGTGACAGTTGGTTTCCCGTTTTGGCTCTTGTCCCTGCTTACACCGATCCTAAGACGTGCAGAATGGAAGCCAGATCCATGTACCTGAACCGTGGTTTGCGCATGTCCGTTATTGATCGGGATGACCATATTCTTCCCATAGTAGGTATTCTCATTGTTAGTCCTGACGCCTCCAAAATTATAGCTGGTGCTGAACTTGTAGAAACAGACTGCCTCTCCTGGGAGACCGACATGCCCATTGTTCTTGTTGGTGTCAAAGTGGACATTCCAGTGCATTACTGGGTTGCCATTCTGGTACTGCAGACAAGAAGAGACACCTGTTGTTGGGTTGATCCAGCCATTGTGGAAGTCCAGCTTTGCGTTTTGCCATTTCGTCCCATAGTTGTAAAGGAGGACCATAACATCTTTGTTTTTTGGGTTTGCGAGTGCTAGAGGTGAAACTACTCTCTCACTTCCGGTGAACGCACTTGAAAATCTTAGAAACTTCTGATCGTAGTACAAGTTTTTCCAGAAACGGAAGTAGTTTGCAAGTGCTGTCTCATGGCCATCCTTAGTGAAAAGGGACCAGTTGAGACTATTGTGACCTGGATATTGCTCATTGGCTAGAAGGAAAACAACAGCTCTTTCCATAAACTCTCTGAGGTTCAGATAAGTAAACATTTGTCCAAATCCTAGGTATAGAGTTCCAAAATCTACAATTCCAGAATGGGCTTCCTGACTGATTCCATGAACTCCGCCTCTGCCAAACTCGCTGATAATAAGAGGAACGTTCCTTCCTTTCTTTATATGAGAGTAGTTTTCTATCATGTCAATCAAGGCAACCAATCGTGCTTCGTTGATACCAGTAAAGTGGTGACTACCGCCGTTTACATTGATATCGTTGTAAGCATGGAAGGAGAAGAAGTCCATGTGATCGAGAGACATGTCCATAAACTGTGTTGTTCCCTTCCACAAACGGAAATTATTGGCATCTGTTCTGACTGTGTAGCCTGTATATGTTGGACCTCCCACCTTGATGCCAAATCTTGACTTTAGCTTTTAAACCACATCTCTATGGAAGTTTAAGACAGTATTGGCGTCAAGGGCCTGCCATGAAGCGTCGGGTTCGTTTATGACTTCAAAGTAAGCTGGGAGGTGTCCTCCGGAGTAATCCTTGGCACTCTGAACCATCAGAGATACGAACTCTGCCGCAGCGTCTACGTTATTTGGGAACTTGCCTTGATGATGTGACTTGTCGATCCAATTTGGCCAGCTGAGACCTAATAAGAAATATATTATTATAACTCAACGCCTTTCACAGAAGATGACATATATGACTTTTTAAAAATAAAATACCAGTTCTGCTCTTACTGTACATAGGGCATGTTTTGGACAAAGGAAAGAGCAAAACTTCTCTGCACACAATTGTGAATGTAACTCCTCGGAACCAATCCAATAAATTAAAGCAAGACAATCTACGCTTAGTGGGACACCATCACAACCATTTGAACAAACATCATCGGCTACAATATCCGGAAATCTCAGGAGCTAATCAACCCTCAGTTGTACAGGTATTAAACTGATTACGTTCCTCCAGCCGATCGAGTTAAAGATTTGACACTTAGTAGTACTGTAAAGTAGTGTCGAGCCTGTTAAATTCTTAAATTAGTTTTCATCAAACTATCATGGTGAAGAAACACATTGTAATATTGATTTATGGTAACATGACATACCTTTTATTACCCATACAATATTCTTGACGCCATTTCCAAAACCATGGACTTGCTCCATGTACTTGTTAAAGGTGTTCCTCTGGAGGCCACCGTCTTGTAGGTAGTGTGGGTCTGGGTAACCATGGTGACTGGGATTTTGGTGCCACTGTTTAGTACATGCAGATGGAACTGTATTAACTTGATTATGGTTTTATTGAAACATGACTGTGAGTCAACAGTGTTATGAATATTGCTCTCACATGATTCGAATTGCATTCATATATGTATCCTTATACATATACCGTTGTTCGAGCACAAGTAATTATCGATGATTGTTAAATAACCAGTCAAAATGACTAAAAGAAGCAATAATTAATGAATTGTGCCATTTTGATCAGTTGAAACATTGGAAAATTCAGTTAGAGGTCAGTGCATATTTCAAAGCGATTACGAGTTGGGTTACTATCAATTGGAATATGAAGCGGTATCTTCAACATTATTTCATCTGAAACCATTTAACACTTCTGCAAAGTATGTAGTTGAATTTCACCTCTTTATAAAAAACCTTGCAATTTAGAAAAAAAACCATGCAAACTAGTCTCCTTTCTATTTTGAACTTACAGACGTAGGCATGTTACATATCCAGAGCACTGCTAATTAACTGAGATTTGAATTTTATATAAATTGTGCTACACGTATACTCGGACCCCGTGGTATTCATCGTATCGCGGCATTTGTGATTTCCGGTAGTTCACGCGGGACACATCTCTCTATTAATGTAAATCAGTAACCAGGAAGTGCTCTCTTCGTAAACAATTTTAATTTCCTCGGAATGTTCCGTCTGCTGTAAGTAAGGAGTTATTAATGTGTTGATACTTACTTCTGGCATCTTTTTTTAATATTGCCTTACCCCCATCTGTCAATGGCCAACGATATAACCCGCTGTTCCCCAAGTAAACTTTCTCTATCGATCTGAACTAGATCATCTGCATTTTCATGGCGACTAGTAAGGTAACGGAAGTTACGTAGTCCGCACATTTGTTCCCGCTCTGTGCCCAAAATCAATTGGGAGATCATAAGGGCCATAATGCCAAACTTAGAAATATGTTCTTCACTAGAATCCAAAAGATAAATACATACTTTTGGCATACTAGGAGTGCTTTTTATATATTTATTGTTGACTGTTAACATTTTCCCATTTTGTGACAAATTATTGTCATCCATTTTAAAAAACAAAACAATCTTAGAATATCATTTCAAATATTTTGTTGTTGATTTTAAAAATATTTTTTCTGTTACATTTCGGTAAATATGCATTGAATACCTATTACTGATAACACATTTGGAATTTTACTTGTGCTGTCTTTGCACATGTCTGGACAAATCACTGATGTCTGGCATGATCATACTAAGTGGTTGGTAGAAGTATGTCCTCTTTTTGTCCAATTCGGACCTCCTTACACAACTTTTATCTGTACCGCGATACGATGGAGTTCTCTCCCTTGTCAAACTGAGCGCAAGGCCCGGATTTTACTCGGAGCTTCTAATAAAAATAATGAACCTTTTTTAGTAAAATATGCATTTTTAGATAAAATAAATGACATCTGATATAGAGAACACGAATAATCATAAAGGTTATTGAGTGTATTTTGTTCCGTTTAGCGTACATGACAGGTACCGCGATACCCCGAGGTTGCAGGCTACATCGAAATCGTTGGTACGTGATTAGTCCTACTGATCACAAACAATGCATCAGGTTATCCGTAATGTTGCTAAAATACCAACATGTCAAGGATTATAACTGGAACAGTAACGTAGTGATGTTCGAGCCAGTGAGGTTACACGGTATAACAGAGTAATCACAACAAGTTAAATCACTTTAGTTCTCACTTAACAGCAACAAATGTCTGCTAAAAGTAGAGTCGATTATCCGAGTCCAACTAATCATGTGTTTATGAATGACTATGTATCGAACAGTAATGATACTATGATTTCGCGAAAAGGTGAGCGTATCCTGCCCCACATGTTGCACCCTTCCCAAACACATGGAAAACAAGCAAATTTTTCATCTGAAAAAAAACACGGGAACACGCGGTACAAGTCAAAATCGGGAATTGCCCCGGACATATTTTTTGAAACTGATGCGCCAAATGTGTAAATGCCCTCCACATGTCTTCCATGAAACTTTCTGAAAGATTTTATTATGACTCAATAAAGACATTACATACATTTACCCTACTATTCACTCAGATCCTCGTTTTAGATTCAATGTAAAAAAAAAGTTATATGATCAATCAATCTCGACATACATTTTTTCTATAGAGCAATAACGCAAGGGTTACATACATTTGCAAATAGATGGCCATTCAAGTCTCTGTTCATCCAGCGCCCCGGTTCGGCACCAATACCTTTGCATTTAGAGATCAGGTTAGAGTTAGGGAGACCATTGAATTTGTTCCATCTGTCCACCTCATAATGGACTCGTCCACCCTGGGAGAGCCACTCATTGTAGATGGTGACTGTGGTGTCGGAGATCACCTCCCCGCACAGGAGGACTGTGATGAACACTACCACTGGCACCTGCTGCATGACTATATCTGTTTAGGTTAGGCAAGCTTGTTATATACTGCTGACAGACGTGTGAAATGTGCACATGTCTCCACAGCTTAATTACATATGACTAAACTAAGAATTAACGGCCTGAAGGACTGGTATGGTACAGAATGTAGCCAAGTAGGTCATATGACAATGAACTAATAACTATAGATAGTGGCAAACTGACAACTTACTTTCATAATCTCTCCTTGAACTTGAAACATACTTTTGTGTGCGTATTCTGGGTTGGGTTTTTGCCACCTATACACAGACAATGAGATAAAATATGCAACTACCGACATATTATTAGCTCATGTAGCCATAAATTAATGAAAGGTTTTTGACAACCGACAATATTGATCAGTGTTGGGTTTGCAAATACTGATATATAAAAAAAATCATAATAAAGACAAACCCTTTTTAAAAACTATTAAATAACAAAAAATAAAATTGATAACTATCAGGTTGCTCGAGGTTAGGTGACCATGATCCGTTGAACGATGTATAAATAAACTGTCTGGTGTATTCTGTGTGTGTGTGTGATTTTAATTATATTTTATTCCACTGCAAAGAGAGTGTTGAAGACGAGAGATAATAGGGAAATCCAAGGGTCACTTCTTGAAATGTGTGCCTCAGAGATGTGGATTAACGAGGACATTAAGCATTAAAAGGGTAAAATGCTGTTTTCAATGTAGTGAGTGAGTGTGGTGTTACGCCGCTTTTAGCAATATTCCAGTAATTTTAGGGTGAAGCACATTTCTGTTGTCCCCCACTGTGATATTGCTGTTTTTTTTAAATGCCATCTGTTTTAACTGGAACTTCCAGCCTTCCTATAAACACCTATCAGAAGTTACATTTGATGAGTGGCGGTAGGTTCTGGTATGCAGACAAGATAATATTATGTTCCAACATCCCCCGCCATTTCCGACGCCATTCTAGTGACATTTCGCATTCAATGTAGGCCTAGCACTCCCAGACATGGCGACAAGCGTGATGTATCTGAATGTGCTTGATGACAGTCATCTTACTGCGACGAGAACGTCAGCCTCAAATGTAGTTGTCGGAAATGACAAGGAACCATAAAGTAAACGGCTTTTACAATTGGACAAATCAGGCGAGGATATGACCCCTGCTTTTGTCTTGGTGATGTGATCACAATACACGAGGCAATATGAACGGTGGTGATTTTACATGTGGACAGTTTGTTTGGATAGCCGACGCAAAGGCAAGAGCTACTGTTATCATTTTCTTATTTATTTTAATAAATAATGATGTACACGAGGACACATTTCTGTGACAAGACGACGTGTCCAGTTATTTGTTGAGCTACAGATGGACACAACAGGTTTTCTAAAAAACTTAAATATTTTATGAAGGAATTCACATACAACCTCAAACGTTGTGTTCATCTGTCTCATATTTAGAGCTATGCAAAAGATTCAGAGTGACAAAACACTCTCCACAAGAGGGATGACTTCAACTTTCCAATAATCAACCTACCCATTATGTCGAGCAATATTCCTGCAGCTCCACCCCTTTGGTGCTTACATTTCACAACTTTTCGGGTATATGTGAGCATGTTCTCTCCACCAAGATTTCAAAGAGCGTCATACACCTCAAAAGTTTTTGGATCACGGTCACAACATTCTAAAGCCACACCAAAGCCTCAAAACATTTTGTGGTGGATATGTTGAGGATAGTTCTAAATATGACCCACCAGTGACAAAAAATATGTCCGATGCATGTCCCTATATAATTTGACCATATGTTTCCATGTTCTTGTTCAGGTGAACAAATTACTTACCTTTGCATGTGTTTGGGCGGGTTCAACCGGTGGGAAAGTGAGTGAGTGAGTGAGTTAAGATTTTAAGTCACATCGGCAATATTTCAGCCATATCGTGACTTTCAAAAGTTATATATAATAAATACATGTAAACCATAAAAACCTGTCGACAAGGGACAGTAAAATAACTAGACTTATCACAGATTATTATTTAAAACTAGCAGGGAACCATAAAAATACATCACTAGACAGGACAATACATTATAAAATGGGCTAAAGATCGGCAGCAACTGAAGGTAGATCACCATACTGGGGACCATGGGGACTTACAGTACCTTTGCTACCTGCATGGACCCCAGCAGGATTTACATCATCCCTTCAGGTGTTGGCGACGATTAGGGAATGTAGCTGTATTTAAAAGAACATATATTCTACGATTAAAACTATGATAGGAATAACAGACGTCGAATGATATGGACTTACTATGCCCTCTCAGGGGGACAATAATTTTACAGTACTTTAACCCCCGTCAAGGGTACAGCCATTAACAATCTCAGTTCACAATTAGACACTATCAAATTAAGAAACGATTATGTACATCAAAATTTATTTATCAGTTCAATTTCTTTTAAAAAGTTAATTATTAAATGAGACGAAACATTATTAAAAAGATCCATTATTGAAGTTGCACTGAAATATTTATCCCTTGTGATGGAAAAATCAATACAGTCAAGCAGAACATGCTTGACCGTGATTCTCTCACCACAAGGGATACAAAATGGAGGATCCTCGCTTTTTAAAATATATTCGTGTGTATACCTGCTATGGCCAATACGACATCGTCGCATAATGACCTCTTCAAATCTGGACTGACAGCCCAAGTAGGTGTAACCAATATTTGGTTTAATTACATGTAATTTATTGATACCGACTTGGGAGTCCCACTTCTTTTGCATAAGATCACAAATATAAGATCTGATTACAGGTTTAAAATCAGTGTATGGGATAAGAAGTGGTGTCACAGATTTGTTGAGTGCTGCTTTAGCAGCAGCATCAGCCATTGAGTTGCCTTTGATGCCCACATGACTGGGCAACCAACAAAAGACGATGTCGTATTGGCCAGTAGCAAGTTCATTAAATAATTCAATAATTTTGATTAAAAGTGGATGTTGACAGGATACGTTATGGATAGCCTGCAGGCAAGAAAGAGAATCGGAAAATATGATAAATTTCTTATATTTTGACTGTTTACTGATATATTGTAAAGCTGTTAAAATGGCATTGGCCTCTGCCGTGAAAATAGAACTATTATCGGGTAATCTGGAGGAGATAGTCCTAGATCCAATGACAGTGGCGCTGGCAACAGCGCCACTATCCTTGGATCCATCAGTAAATATAGATTTGTAAGTACTGTATGTGTTTCTTAATTCATTGTATTTTTGTTGATAAATAAGTGGATTTGTTTCCGATTTCTTTAATTTAGTTAATGTCAGATCCACCTCTGGCTTTACCAACTGCCAAGGTGGAGAAGACAAAAGCTGCGTGGGGGCTATATCTTCAAGATTAATTTGAGCAGCTGAAATATCAGATTGAAGTCTTATTCCAAGTGGGGGTAGAACCGATGATTTGTTTTTATAGAGATTTTCATAAAGGGGGTGAAAAACACAGTCATATGCTGGATTCGAATTATTAGAGCGTAATTTAGAGACATACTGTAAGGATAATTTAATGCGGCGTTGTTTAAGAGATGGCTCATCCGCTTCAACGTACAGACTGTGGATAGGAGAAGTTCGGAAAGATCCAAGACATAGTCTTAGACCTTGATGATGGATAGTATCCAAAAGTTTAAGGTTGCTTTTGCAGGCTCCACCATAGACGATGGAGCCATAATCCAGTTTAGAGCGAATTAGTGTTCTGTATAATTGGAGTAGGGTTTTCTGATCCCCACCCCACTTGGAATTTGAAACAACTTTCAGTAGGTCAAGGGCCTTCAGGCAATTATTTTTCAAATATTTTATATGTGGTAAAAAGGTTAAATGGTGGTCAAAAATAATACCCAGGAATTTAGCCTCTTTTACAACTTTAATCGGAGTGCTATCTAAAACTAACTCAGGGTCTTTATGAGGTTTGTATTTCCTACAAAAGTGTAAACAGTTTGTTTTGGATTTCGAAAATTTAAAACCATTTTCTAAACACCATTTATTTATCTTATTGAGACATAATTGTAATTGTCTTTCGATAGTATGCATGTTTTTACCACGACATGATATGTTAAAGTCATCCACGAATAAAGATCCATCAATGGAGTCAATTAAAACCTTAGAGAGGCTATTTATTTTAATGCTGACCAATGTGACAGACAAAATACTGCCTTGTGGGACACCCTGATCCTGATTATAATGATCAGACAGGGTAGTTCCCACGCGGACTTGAAATTGTCTGTCAGATAAAAACTTGGATATAAATTGAGGCAAACGGCCTCGCAATCCAAAGTCATGTAAGTCTTTTAAAATACCGTGCTTCCATGTAGTGTCGTATGCTTTTTCTAGATCGAAAAAGATAGACACTGCATGTTGCTTATTTACAATGGCATTCTTAACGAATGACTCCAGTCGAACTAAGTGGTCAATGGTACTGCGATTTTTACGGAATCCACATTGGATATTTGTGATTAAGTTATGGGATTCTAAGTACCAGGTTAATCTGTTATTGACCATGCGTTCCATGGTTTTGCAAACGCAACTAGTCAATGAAATTGGTCGATAATTGGAAGGATCAGTATGATCACGACCAGGTTTAGGTATGGGAATTACTATAGCATCACGCCATGAAGAAGGAAATTCTCCTGACGTCCAGATTTTATCAAAGATCATCAAGAGGGTTTCTAAACAGGACTGCGGTAAATGTTTTAAGAGTTGATAATGTATATTATCAGACCCTGAAGCAGTGTCATGAGCTTGCCCAAGGGCAGTATTGAGTTCATGAATGGAAAAGATTTCATTGTAATCCTCGCCATTATCTGAATTAAAATTTATAGGTTTCTTTTCTTGCTGCTTTTGATATTTTTGGAATTTAGGGGCATAGTTCGAGGAGGAAGAATGTTGAGCCAGAGTTTCACCAAGTTTATTAGCAATATCTGAAGTATCGGTTAATAAGTCATTCCCAGTTTTAAGGTGGTGAACACCAAATTTAGAACCCTTACCTTTAATTTTCTTAATCATGTTCCATACCTTAGATATCGGCGTACGTGAATTT